TCTCTGGATATGGGCACGGATATATGGATATATTTAGTATATATATGTATATGTGCAGCCAATGAACAAGTCTCGCACAAGCATATGCTAATTATGTGAACGTGAACTTCCACAAACTCTAGCTGATTGCAAGTGAATAAAGCGTGAATAAACCATTGCGCAGGGAATGCTTGAATGGGTCTATGAAAGATATTTTTTTTATAGTATCGCCAATCATGCCATAGAAATAGTCGCTCTGAGCTTGCTTAAAATAAAAAACAGGAAATATCACTGATTACTTAATTCATTCTTGGCGTAAGTAGTGACGGTATGCGTGTCATTAAAGCCTCATAAATATTATTAAACGGTCAATTATGATTAATAGGTTGCCCCTCCAAACACAACAGCGACTTGATTAAGCACCTGTTAGCTAGTTTCAGTACAAAGAAATAGTTCTTAGGAGCAGCTAATGCTTCTACAAATCATAAAATAATTTCCTTTATAGCTATTAAGCTACCGCTATATATTCCTCCCGATACGATTATCACACGCCATTACCATTATACCATTGTGTCCCATGGCGTCTGTTTGAGGAACTTCTGGCGTCAAGACCATATCATCTTGGGCCTCGATCCAGACATCGTAAACCAGTTAACGATGTCTTTACGATCCCGTCATCTGCTAGTCCCGTTAGATAAGATCTGATAGCCGGCGACATGTGATCATCCAAGCGAATCAAAGTAAAAGCCCCCGTTTCGCTGACATTTCACTTAAGTGGGATGAGGGTTGTTGGCTCGCTTTTAAAGGGGGCCTGTGGTATCTCGACCTGCAATTTTCCCGCAACTTATGAAAACCGGTTAAGCCAAAGTCACTGGCCAGCCCCAAATGCTAATGATAAATGACGTTGTTAGGCGGGGCGGTGTACTCCACTCTCAACTAAGCCACCCAACTCGGGCATAATGGCAACCATTCACGGAAATTTCCGAAATTCGATTTCTTAAGCACAAAGCTTTGGGCGTTCAAGGTCCAAGGCGCGTGGAGTTCGTTTATCTGTGGCTCCGATACCAAACAATAGCAGCCATATCCCATATACCATATTCCATATGCCATATTCCACATCCCATGTGCCATGTGCCATGTCCAATGCTCCGTTTGCACAGGTGCCAGCGCAGCAGTGAAGTGGAATTGCTGACGTTGACTCCAGCACGTTTTGCCATTAGTGGCTAATTAGAATTTAATTGCTAATATTTTGTTGTGGCCGCTTGTTTTTCCACTTCCACTTGGTTCGGTTTGTTTGCATGCGTTCCTTTGCTGCCACCTTATCAGCATGAACTCGACACTCTATAAATAAGCGAACCTACCCGCACAAATTATCCACTGTTTACTGGAAACTCTCCCCCAAGAAAAGCCAGCAACTAAACATTAGCTTTGGCAGTTATTTTTAGCAGCCGTATATCAAGTGCTCTAATCTAGTTTAGTGCGTGCTTAAGTGGAGCAGGGTTGTCCAGGTATGCTCCTAATTACTTGGATACATATTCAGTGTACTCCGAACATGTCTTGCAGTCTTATCAGCGTGGAAAATATTTGTTCTTGACTAGCAGAAAGATTCCACATCTGTTTGCACATGACCATTTGGTCTAGATGAATCCAAGTGCTAGCAGAAATTAGCACAATGCTTCCATTCAGCTATCTTTTTTGCAGACCGGCGATTCCTTATGGCTTTTTCGACCCTTTTAGAGGAGATCCAGTGATTTAAATTCGTTCACCTTTCGCATCTATTAAGCAATTACACTTTGTGGCTAGCCAACAGGGCGTATGCATATAAGTCACATAATCAGTTGAGCCACTTTTTCTCTGGACTAACACTACGAAAATTGCCATCGGATTGACCACCTGTCGCTCATCGCGACTCGTCACAACCCCAACCTAGGTCAACTATTTCGTACGAGCGAAATTTCATCAGCTGCGTGGTGAAATTGATTGCGAAATGATGGGCGGGCGTTGTAAAGATACTTGGTCTAAAATAAAGATGGTGTGCCGTGTGCCCCTTTTGCCCTCCAGGCCGATCCCAAAGAGAACGCACCTTCGATGGTGAAATATGGCCGCCGCCAAAGAAGTGTGCAAACTCGGTCGCCAACTCATCGAATGGTCTTTAAATGTGATAGCAGCTTTACTGGCTTTTATGGTGTTTGTGTTTTGATGGGTGCGTCAAAATATTTTGCAAATCGCAGCCAGGAAGATAATGTCCGAGCATTGTGGACGGGTTAACACCTACCCCACTAGTCGCACTGAATAGAGATGTGCTCCATCCATATCAGGGCTGGAGATATCCCCAAAAGCCGCCTCAGACACCAGGTCGTCATCAGGGGCCTTATCGTCAAGTGGCTTTGGCCGTAAAGCTAGTCGCCCGATTGGCTGAGATTATTTAGCGATCCATTTACGGGGGGAACACCCTGTTGGCACTGGTTATATTTAGATTCCTTATCAGTCGCCGATGAAGATGATCACTCCCACCTGGAGGAAGATCCATTCGTTCGCACGCCCCAGAACGGCGATGATAAGCTATCAGTGAGCTCACCGCTCTGTCTTGATTTCCTGATACCATAATATCGCTAATATCGCTAATACCGCTCCTCCGCTCCGTGCCCCTCCCTTCCAACCCATTCCGATTCGTTTCGATTTGGTGCGGTTTGGTTTGGTTCGGCGTGGCGATTTTGCTTCCTTTCAGTAATCATCGCCAGCTCGTGCTGCGTACACGGCCAGTCCTATCTCTTCAGCCTGGAGAACGTTCTCAACGAGTCCTCCCGCCACCTGCCCTACGACCTAACGAGCCTAAACGGAACCACCGAGGTGGAATTGTTTCCCGATACCATCTCGAACAACACCCGGATTATTGTCTACAAAAACAGTGAGTATCTGAAGGATGCAAAACTAGTTGTGCCAAAAACATGAGACAAATTAAGACCAAGATTTTTGTGCTAGCTAAAATCGCCTAATTCGATTCCATGCAACTCTTTTAATTCCAAAAATAAATAAAGTGATCCTTCGAGTAAAATCGAGTGTATAATTCGAGTAGAATCAGCAGCGTATTTTTAGAGGCTTATCAATATTAAATATAAACTGAAGTGATTTATGTCGATAAGGTTTGCTGCAAAACGTCACTAATTTTACGAATTTGTATGAATAACCATCGTAGTACAATTGATTTCAGTACAGTACTGTGTAAAAGTAACTAAGATCGGTTGGGAAGGCTTCCAACAGCCATAAACACTTGTAACCCCTGTTACACTCGCCCACCGGTAATATCTCAATTTTAGTGGACCCTTGAGGCCGGCAATCAACAACAATTCCCGTCTAATTACTATACCCGCCACTGGGGTTGGCCCCTATCAATGGGCCATTTAAGCCATTAGCGTAGTTCGATGACGCGACAGTATTGCGAATCGAGCAGTTTCGTCATAAAGTTATAGCACAGACCCACAATTCGTGACTGGAAGCACAGCACCAGCAACTGATAACCCGATGTCCGCCAGTAATCTTTGGTGCTGGGATGAACTTCTAGCCATTCTAGGTATTTCTATGTAGTGTCTGGGCCTTAGATTCCAATTAGAGTGGGATTTGCCTATGATTTGGCCGACATACGTGTATGCACCCTGTAGTAGTCACGACCAAAACTAATTAAAACTTAACACTTTTAGCTGTCGTCGAGTCGCCCAACGATCTATCCCAGACTGCGATGGATGTGATCACGATTGTGTGGTACGTGGCCACGTTTCTGGCCCTGGCAGCCTTCTTCATGCTGATGGCCTGCTCGGATCGCAGATGCCGCGACATGAGGCGTCGTCCCGCCGGAGGTCAGTCCACCGAGGGTCTGAGGGCACCACCCACGCCCTCGCCATCGTACAGTGAATTTGCACCCCCCAGCTACGATACGGTGATCAAGATGCAGCACGCGGCCAAGACGAGTGTCTTTGTGATACCGTTCAGCAACAAGGCCGGAGAACTGGGTGCTCCAGCCTCAGCAGTGCCGCCCCCAACTGCCAACCCATTGCCACCGCCAGTCACCTGCGATGTGATCATCGTCAATGAACTGCAAAAGTCCGCTGACTAACCGATAGGCCGATGGTGGATCCCTGGAGAAGACCTGGATCCGGCCTTCCTATTCCGACTCTGTGATATTTGCTGTTTACGGCAATGGGCCAAGTATTAGATGTCGTAAGATCCCCACAAAAAGACTGACAATGAAAGATATCTTTGTGCGCACATGCATTCAAATGCCAGTTAAACTGAAACTAGATGAATAAGTAATTAACTGTAATAAACCATAGCGTTATCGTACATGACTCATCCAAATGGATGTTTGCTGTTCCAAGAACTCGCATTTTAAAATTAATCAGCGGCTTATGCGGGATATTCCAAGTTGGGGGCAAAATATCTGGGCACTTGCTGGGCCGAAAGCTTCGAGGTAAACGGATTCCGAAGACCAAAACCGTGTAGCTTCGGTCGGGTGGTGAAAGCTTTCTGGTGAAACGAATTCAAAACAGAATGCTGATAAGAGTTCTGGGAACTTTTCCGTTGTGGGGTTTTCACTTGATGCGAACGGATTGGGATTGACAAGGCCTGAAACTCAGCGCCGTCGTTCAGTATCAGGTGATCTGGAGTTGAAGTGCCATCCGTGCGTTTATCGAAGAGAAAACACGGTTTGTTTGAACACATCGGTGGGATAAATGGATTAACAGGGGGCAAGTTAAGCAAACAAAAACAGGGCACTTTCCGTTCCCATTGCCATTTAGCAGCTGAGGGTCAGGCGTTCAGTTCATTCATCAATCGATTTCCAGTGAATTTCAGTTGCCTTGCAGCCGCCGTTGTTTAGATCGGGCGAAGGTAACATCTGGCCCAAAACAGACCTCTTGTTTCTGGGGCACAGCCAGCACACCGCCTATGCGGCGTATGCGTAATATTTCGATTTTTCAACGTTTTTGTTTACTTGCCACACACATATTTCACACAAATTGTTATTCGAAAATTACACAACACCGCCGACAAGAACTCAGCGCTGGCGTAGCAAGATGATAGCAGATGTTTGTGCCAAACCAGATCGGATTGCAGTAAAATCACGTTACGCCCCGCTCAATGCGGTTCTTGTTCTTGCTCCGCGCCGATGGTCGTTGATTGCCGCTGGTCGCCCGAGTTGAGCGCTTGATTGTGGGTCCATTGATTGGGCGATCTCCAGTGCACCGCAAAGAAACTTCCAGCCCCAACTGCCTTTAAAAGTTCATGTTAAATAGGGTCAACGGTGCTAATAATCAGAGAACAGCGCTCAATATGTCATTGTTATATCTTAAACAGATACTTAATTTGATCCTAAAGAGACCCCTTATTTGTGTACCAAATCAATATTATTAATGCATTTTCCTTTCTATAACATGAGTGCCACAAAACTAATAATCCTCATCTTATTACTTTCTTCCGTGTAGAAGCAGCGTTTATAGATGTTAAATATTAACCACTGATAAGTGCACACTTACAAAGCAGCCACCATAACAAGCAGCTCGCCTTTTCTCTGCGTGTACTCAAGCGCGTTGCTGATTGAGGCGGATGAAGCCGATCGGAGTTGGCCAATTTCTAAACTCTCTCACGGTCTTCAATTGAACCGCACTTCCTCGACTTCCTCCCGTCGCCGCCGCTCTTTCTCGATCTTCCGCTCGCTGCGTCTCTTTCTCTTTCTCCGCGGCTAGTTGTGCAAAAAAACGCACGCTCTTTCTCCCTCTCGCACTGTTGCTCTGCCACTCTGCCACTCTCCCACTCTCCCACTCTCCCACTCTCCGACTCTCCCACTCTCCGTCCGCAAGTAATTTTTCGTTGAAAAGCCTCCGTGGCGTAATTAGCTGGGATCAGTCCAACGCAAACCGCGCCATCGAGTGGAAGTGGATTACTGCTGCCAGAGTGAAGTGCATCGAAGCCAGAGCGAATCAGAGCGAAATTCTACACGTATCACGCATACGCCCGGTAGTACAGTAGTACAGTAGTACAGTCGAATAACCGAATATGTCGCCGAGAAGGAGCTTGCTGTGCTGCCTGCTGGTGAGCAGCATCCTGGTGCTGCACCAGGCCCAGGCCAACATCGAGACAAACGAAGTGGACGACCCCAGTTGGTACAGTAAGTGTGCGATCCGGATCAGGGCGGCCAAAGCGAGCAACCACAACTTAACCCATTCCAAACGCAGTGCTGCAGGGTGTGCGTGTGTATCCCAATGATCGACAGTGCGTGCTGGTCGGAGGACTGTGTGTCCAGGAGGCGGACTGCATCGAGCCCACCTCGAACAAGGGATTGTGTCCCACGAGCGCCGGACTGGGCGTCGAGTGCTGCTACGAACGTGAGTAGATTGCTGGCTCTCTGCTGTGTATACCATCCTGCTTAAAACCTGCAAAAATCAACCCAAAAACCACCCAAAAACTCCCAAATAAATCCGATACCCCATCAGTCCGCTCAAGCCCAACGCCCGCCTTCGCAACGCTAAAAATCTAACCACAGTCAAATTGGCATCGTTACTCCCCCAAATATCGCCACTAACCCGCAAACCCGATCCATTCTGTGTGTCCCGTCGCCCTCAAAAACGTCAAACGTCATCCCGTTGCCGTTGCAGTGCCGGTCAGACCAGCGCCCTGTGCGGAACACCTGGGACAGTGCATGGACCGATTGCCACCAGAGGCTCCTGCGACCCGGTGGTACCGATTGCCAGAACGGCCAAGTCTGCTGTGTCCTGATTTAGTTATACTCAACCACACCAAACACATACCCGTGCAGAGGAACAGCATCGCCAAATCACTTAGTTTTGCGACAATTCAAATACCCAAAGCTTGTATGCAGGACTTCTAGAATTTTCCAAAAACATTGGTCAAGTCTTTTATTTTCAACATATCTCTTAGTAGGACTTATCAACATATCTACAAATTTGAAAGCAAAGAATAATTTTTATTTGTATATGTACAGTCTTCGCTGTATATTGTTTTCGCTCAATAAAATAGGCATAACATTAAAATGATTTGCAGAATTGAGTGCTAAGCGGATCGAAACTAATTTGGTTGTGTTATTTCTCTGTACACACACACACACCGTACATAAACATGTATTTATTTAACTATATGTATATTAATTATATTGTACGAATAATTTTGTATGACTTCTTAAGAATCCAAAATCTCCCGACAAAGTGAAATATTTGACTGCTTCCAATAAATGCATTGTAAATATTTTCCAACACAAATCTCTACTCACTCGAGCGGTCACGTATCTGAGGATTATGTAAGTACATATGGGCATGGTTAGCTGACAGCCCCCAGTTCTGATCCCATTGTGATCTGGGAGCTCGGTCGTCACGTGCTCCAAGTACAGTTGGATGATCGAAGTGCCCAAGATCGGGATTGGGGATGAAAACAATAGCCTCATCATCGGCCAAACTAATTCCAGAGATGATTCCAGATGATGGGCCAGTGTGAATCACAAGATGGCAATTGAAAACAACAGCTTATCGCTCCGCCAACATTCAATGTCAAGTTCAAATCACGAAACATCACTTCGTTCTATGGACCGCCTGCTATGAATTCAGTTTCGAATATTTTCCAAACAGTTCTCAACCGAAATAAACGACCTTGCCACGCATCGCGAAGATATATCATCCACGTCCATGTGCCGCGCATGCCTTGCTTTTCTGTACTCCCCGATATCTGTTTGTATCTTTCGGTTTGCATGACTTCATTGCTAATGTTTGGACGCCTATTCCACTCGGCTATTTATAGTTGGGCGGTCGCCCGCTCGACCGCTCGACGGGGTCACTTAAGTTTAGTTCGATTTGATTTGGCCAGCGCTCTTGAGTTGAATGAATTCGCACGCAGGGCGGCATTGAGGCGCCAACATGTGTCTATACCGATGGGGCGTAGTGGAATGTAAGTTGCAGAAAACGTGAATGAAATAGGAAGGCTTTGGTAGTACGAGGTGTGAAATTCAAAATTATAATCTTAAAGTTCCAGAAACTTCGCTCATATATTCGATAATTGGGCTAGTATTTTGCTTAAGTTTCAGGTAAGTAAGTGTCTTGAATAAAGATGGCCTGCATCTGGAACTGTTTTCCATCTCGGAACCTATCCTGACCTTGCATTGAGTGCATTGCATCACTCTCGCTGCATCGAATTCATTGTCATGGCACTTAACCCGCCAATGCCAGTGACAGTGAAACCATCGGCCTTGTCCGGACACTATTCGCGATCTATATCAGCATATGGAGCGGAACCCAGGCGTGTGCATTCCGGCCGGAGTGTACTATGTGCCGTGTACAATTGAGTAAATCAGCGTATATCAAAGCACCGTACTGCGTCTTAGATTGCATAAGTTGTGCAGTAATTGTGGACAGAAATCGCTGCCGATTGAACCCGAACCCGAACCCGAACTCGAACCCAATCTCAATCCAAACCCCAATCAAAAACCCAATCCAAAACCCAATCCAAAACCCAAGCCCAAACGCAGGCCGATGCGATCCGATCGGTGCCGAGTCGAGTTTGGCGTAATATTTTGTAGGTACTTTGGTTTTTTTCATGAGCCGCTTATCAGGGCGGCTCATCATCACCGGGCGGCACGGCATATAATAAATTATTTATGTGTTTTGTTTTTTGGTTTTTTGATGTTGTGGCTTTTTCCCCGCTTTGCATTTGTTTACGTTTTCGATTTCATTTTTGCGAGCTAATCCCGATTTATTTTCTTCTATTTGTGTCGCATTTGCGACACAGAGAAACTAATAAAACTTTGTGTGCGGCATTTTGTGGAGCATTGGGACTGGGAACTGGGGATTGGGAATGGGGATTGGGGATAAGGCTCAGATACGCTCATATTTCATGTCATAGTTCGCACTCATTTTTCACTTGACATAAAACTGCGTTGGCGTTTGCGTCTCATATCCTGCGGCCAGTGCAACGCAATTTGCATCTCCATGCCACTCCGCCGCACTCCGCCGCACTCCGCTCCTTCGTCCTTTGCCTTTTTATATTTTGCACTTTTTTAATTTTTATTTTCGCATGTGGCTGGTAGTGTGGAGAGTATAAAAGAAAATGATTTTGTGGCATAAATTAACGCCAAGAGGCACACGGAACACTATTAAAAAATACGGATCCGCCACGGCACACACATGCCGAGCTGACTGGTTGGCTGGTTGGTTGGTTGGTTGGCTGGCTGGTTGGTTGGCTGGCTGTATCCTGGATCCTGGGCCTGGCCAAAAGGATGTGGCAAGTCAATGGCTTATGGAAAATCCAGGATATGCACTTCACGGCCGCGTGAACTTCGTGTTGTCAAGGGGCCGGGCGAGCTCCTCATGCAATTAAT